TAGCTCCACCCGGGTTCAAGCCTTGGTGGAAGCAAAGATTAAATTGATTTAAATTTATAAAGTGAATTAGTTGAATTAATTAATATTTAAAAATCTGATTTATGTAAGGGAAAAATCAGATTTTTAATAAAAAAAATAATAAATAATGAGGAGTTCTTGTTTGACTAAGTCTCCACCTAACTCTTATAATTCTAATCCTCTCATTCTCACGTCTCTCCCTCTCATTCTAACGTTTTTTTATAAGTAAAATAACTAAAAATAATAGTTCTTCACTCTTGAAGAACTTACACACAAAAACTCAAATGAAAAGCCAAGCTAAAAACAAAAATCAACAACATTCTTCTCGACGGATTGTGTTAGGGATTTTGGTGGTTAGGCGGTGGGTTCGTGGGAAATTGGCAGCATTTAAACAAGTGTGGAACGACATTAAGGTATGGGTTTCATATTCTCTCTTGGTCCCTTTCCCAAGAGAACCCTAAGTTAAGTTTAAATTCCAATCGAATAACTAAGATTGTCCCTGTTGCATGCCCCTATCATTAGATCCTTTGAAATATTCAAAGTATGCGTTGTTATGTCTTCTGGTAGATGACTTTAGGGCTGGTTGTGATTATATGTTTGAATGTGTATTCGGAAATTATGTAAGGAATGAAAGATGTGTTCCGGGAAAGGGTATTAAATTAATTGTTTGTGCATGTGTGTGCGGTGAATTAACTATGTTTTGCTGCCTGAAATTTACATGTAAAAATGTTGTATTTTACGTGTACGAATATGTTAAAAGTGTGATGTTCATATAAGTGGAACGTTTCTGAATAAATGTCACACAAAATACTCCAAGAATCAACATAAAAAATGAGAGAAAAACGAATTGAAAGAGGACCAAATTTCCAACTTGCTGGAAATATTGGTATCGTCCTATATTTTTGAGTTAGAGCTATGCTTTAAAATTTTATTTAAAATGTGAGGTCATTGGGGATTGAACCCAAGACTTCACCAAATGCAAATTACATAAAAATTTCATGAGAAAAACAAAAGGAGAAAAATAAATGTGGTGAGTGGGGATTGAACCCACAACCTCTCGAATAGATGAGAGAGTTAGAAGAAATAATAAAGAAGAAAAATAAATGTGGTGAGTGGGGATGTAACCCACAACCTCTTAAATAGATGAGAGAGTTAGAAGAAAAATAAAGAAGAAAAATAAATGTGGTGAGTGGGGATTGAAACCACAACCTCTTGCATAAGTGAGAAAGTTAAGAGATAAATTAAGAGAAAAATAATGAGCTTGTGGGGGATTGATCCCACAACTTCCTTGCCTTAAATGAGAAAGGAGGAAAAGAAAGGAAATATTATGGGAGTGATGGGGATCGAACTAGGGTCCCCCGAATTTGAAAAATGCAATTATCAAGTTTAATATAAGATTAAGTGTTGCTCAAGAGTTTCAAAATCAGGTTCCCTTGTCCAATCCCGTATTGACACATATGCCATACGTGAACAAATATTAAATGAATGCTGCCTCTAAGGATCAAAATTGATATCTTGGCATACCTACAAGATGCATAAGTCTTGTACCACATAATCTTTGGTAAATATGTATCACTTAGATGAACTATGAATGAAGCCTCATGGCTTGTATGCGTGGACTAATAAGTCTAGCATAACTTTTAATGTAAGTGAAATTAAGATGCTATGTGAAGAGATGATGAAACCCCAGAGGGGTTAGGTAAGAGTGTGACACACATTAAAGGGACAAGTGTATTGGCATACAATGAAATGAACATTCACATAAAAGGGGTGAGTAATTATGAAGACTAAATGTGCTAAAGCTAATGAATGTGGTGACAACTTGATAATAAGCTAATGTGAAAGGTGAGAGAAATCTCAAATGAGCCCAAGTAAATGTTACCAAGACGTAGTCACCTATGAGAGTGTAAGGTTAATTAAGAGACCAGTCTCTATGAACACTCTAATGAAAGTATTGAAGTTAAAGCATACTTAATACTAGTGATGAGATGAAAAAACATCTAATGATCTATGATGCCTCATGTTAGAAGCCAACTTATATGATGTATGAGATGAATGTAATGGAATTTTATACTAAGCACCGATAGGCTAGCTATGAGTGGTGATTCCTTCTTTAAGGAAGGAAGAGGTTCGTGTAATTCTCATGAGATGAGACTGTCCGTCCAGATGGGTATGGGCATCCTTATATTTTCTAGTCTTTGAAGCTATACAACCATTATAGGGTTCTTGCAGGGTTCGACTCCCTATATATGCTAGCATGTTTTGGTTCACTTTGGCTGGTGATTCCACCTCTTTTCGGTGTGGGGTTAAACACTGTATTTCATGATGCTCACATGATATATGTTGGTTAAGGTTAATGTTTCCAAAGAAAGAATGAGTCCAACCTCAAATAATGCACATAATGAAATGAACGATACCAAAGGTGTTAGGATAGGATAATCAAGAGGTGATCTAGGCTTTAAGTAATGACACTAGGTTATTCTTGGTCCTTGCACAGTGAACCCGATGAAATTCTTAAACTACATCCTAGGTATAGGTGGTGTTTACTAGTATATGAATGAATGAAAATGAAGTACGTATAAGTGTATGAATCAGACTCTCTGTTTTCTAAAAGAGGCTCCCTAGTGGAGGTCCTATATGTTGAGACCTCATTTTGGGAAGACTTAATATCAAGTCCATGATTCCAAGGTCTCATGGCATATGAAAGAATGTTATGAACTATGTCATATAATATGTGCAATATGTTATGTGTTGTTTGCAAAATGATATGTATGATGATGCATGTTACTCTTATAGCATGGCTTTCCTAATACGATTTGGCAAGTCCACTCACTTGACTCTCCTTAAATCATATAGTTATGAGAGACCTCTTCTTAATCATGCATGTCCTTGACGTATGCTTGCATATACCCATACTTATTACAAGTGTGTACTAATCCCATAGAGCTCTCTACTTTTAGGTGTAGGTGCAGGTGAATGCCAGAGCTTACTAGACTACGCTGAAGTTATCCGGATGTGGAGCATTCATCCAGATTTGGTAGTCCCTCTTGCTTTCGAGGATGCCTATGTTTTATATTCTAGCTTAGATGTAGGCTTGAGCTAGTGGAGTATGTTCCACTAGTGCTTCTTTCCCATTTATTTTCAAATATTGTATTGGTGCCATTTTGGCAACTCTATATTTTTATACAGATATGACTATGTCATTCATTTGATTATCTTGATATTAGATGGTTGTTGCGAAACGATTATGAGTGTATGTAGATTATTTTATATGAATTCAATGTTTCTCACTATTAAGTCTAATTAATTTTTTTTTCCAAATTTTCCGCTAAAATTAACCTCGATGATGTAACGATGACGTATGTAGTCTTGTCTTCGACCTCTGAGAGGTCAACAACGCGGATCTCGTCTAAGGTCTAGATTCCGGTCATGACATTTTCCTAGAGTCCCTCTTAAGAAAGAAACAAATCTCGGTATTGACATTCTTCCCAATACTCATCCTATCTTTATTCCTCCATATAAAATGACACCAACAAAGTTGAAAGAGCTTAAAAAACATTTGAAAGATCTCCTAGATAAAGGTTTCATTAGACGAAGTGTATCATCTTGAGAAAGAAATAGTTCCCTTAGGATGTGTATAGACTACCGTCAATTGAATAAGGTTACCATAAAGACAAAGTATCTTTTAAGAGAATTCGTGATCTTTTTTATCAACTTAAGGGTGCCATATGTTTTTAAAAAATTGACCTTAGATTTGGATACCATCAGTGAATAGTAAGGGAAAGTGATATTCCTAAGACAACCTTCAGAACCTGATATGTTTATTTTGAGTTTCTGGTCATGTCCTTTGGTTTGACGAATGCACTTGAAACATTTGATGGACCTTATGAATAGAGTTTTCTAAACTCATTTAGATACGTTTGATATCATCTTCATTGGTGAGATCCTCATATATTCAAGGAATTAAGAAGATCATGCTAGTTATCCCAGAATAGTTTTCCAAACTTTAAAAGATAGAGAGTTGTATGACAAGTTCTCTAAGTGTGAGTTTTTACTTGAGTCTATAGCGTACATGGGCCATATATTTTCTGGTGATGGAATTAGGGTTGATACCCAAAAGATAGAGGCAATGCACAGTTGGCCTAGGCCCACATGTCCAATTGATTTTAAGAGTTTCTTGGGCTTGGTTGGCTGTTATAGAAGGTTTGTAGTGTTGTAAATCCATTGTACAGTATATGTGGATTAGCCATTAGATTTATCCACTATTAAATGGGTTCATGTATAGGTGCTTTCATGGTGATAAGAACTTCCAAAATAACTATGTATCTATTAATTAGATGACTTTTGGAGTGAAATATCAACACTATAAATAGAGAATCACTAGCCATTTGGAAGATATACTTGAATAAGAAAATTCTCTCCTCTATCTTAAACTTCTTGTCTTTTTCTTCTTATATTCTGAGCTTCTTTACAACAGGTTATCATCACGAAGTTGCTACTTGCAAAGGTATATATAAATATTTTTATTTACTTCACATATTCTCTCATAATTTTATTATGTCAAATTTATCCAAACTTGAGTTTGTGGCATTAGATATTTCTGGAAAGAATTATCGTTCATGGGTACTCGATGCTGAGATTCACTTAGCTGCTAAAGGTCTTGATGCCACTATTACTCAGGGAAATGAAGCATCGAGTCAAGATAAGGCTAAGGCTATGATTTTCCTTCGTCATGATCTTGATGAGCGCCTGAAGATTGAATATCTAACGATAAGAGATCCACTTGAATTGTGGACTGATTTAAAGGGGAGATATGACCACCTAAAGGCAACAGTGTTGCCAAGCGATCGTTATGAGTGGCTCGTTATGAGTGGATGCATTTACGACTTCAAGATTTTAAGACCGTAATTGAATACAACTCTTCTGTATTCAGGATAACCTCCTAGTTGAAATTATGTGGAAAGACTGTAAAAGATGAGGACATGTTGAAAACGACACTTACTACTTTCCATGCCTTGAATGTGATATTGCAGCAGCAATATTGTAAAAAGGTTTTTCAGAAATATTCTAAACTAATCTCATTTCTTTTGGTGGCTGAGCAACATAATTCTCTTTTAATAAAAAATTATGAAGCTCGTCCCACTGGAGCTGCTCCATTACCAGAGGCAAATGTGGTGGGAGTACATTATCAATCTGAAGTAAAAAGAGATGATCATTGGGGCTATAATAATGCACGGGGATTTGATAAAGATAAGAGACGACACACTAATCGTCGAGGTGGTGGTCATAATAAAAGGGAGAACAATATGAGTTCTCAAAATAACCCCTCAAAATGTAATTTTCGTCGTTGTGGCATGAAATTCCATTGGAAGAATGAATGTCTCACACATGAGCATTTTGTAAGGCTCTATCAAAATTCCTTTAAAAAGAAAGGAAATAAAAGTGGTGCTTCCTCTTCCAATGCTCGAGTTGAGTCACATATGACTCTTAAAGATGATGATAACCCGGGAACATCTCAGAAATATGATAAGGATGTTGAAGCAAATTTGGCTTTAAGGATGATGTTTTTGATGGCCTTGGTGAAATTACTCATATGGAAGTTGATGAATTTTTTGGAAATCGAAACTGATGTTTGATCTTTTAGCTGGGGAATGAAGTCTGTTAATTTTTTACATAATATTTTACTTATGTTTTTTTAATTATTATGTTATTTATGTTGAAGTATTTAAATTTCCGTTGTTAATTTTGTTTCTTCCTCCTTTTAATGTATTTTATTTTAATGAAAATTAGTAGAAATCCCCAGTTGTCAGTTGGATTTAAGATGAGTAATGGAGATGTATGCCTTCTAGATAGTGCTACAACGCATACAATATTAAAAGAAAAGAAATACTTTTCTAATTTGGTTATGAAAATGGAATATGTCAACACAATATCAGGTAGTACAAAATTAATTGAGGGCTCTGGAAGAGCGACCTTATTACTACCTGGAGGGACTATATTAAGCATTGACAATGCTTTAAATTGTAGTAAGTCTCAAAGAAACTTATTAAGTTTCAAAGTTATTTGCAAAAATGACTATCATGTTGAGACGACTAATGAAGGAAAGGTTGAATACCTTTACATAACTACAAATAATGTAGAGAAAAAAATTGTGCATGAACAATTACCTGCACTTTCTAGGTTGTACTATACTAGTATAAGTACAGTTGAATCACATGCGTAGTAAACAAAAGGTTTACTGATTTCAATGATTTTATCATTTGGCATGACCTGTTTGGCCATCCCGGATTTAATATGATGCGCAAAATCATTGAGAATTCACATGGACACACCTTAAAGAGCCCAAATATCCTTCAATCAAAGGAATTCTCTTGTGCTGCTAGTTCTTAAGGAAAGTTGTTCATTAAACCATTAACATTTAAGGTTAGAATTGAATCCCTTGCGTTTTTGGAATGTATACAGGGTGATATATGTGGACCAATTCAACCTTCATGTGGACCCTTTAAATATTATATGGTCTTGATAGATGCTTCTACAATATGGTAACATGTGTGTTTATTATCAACTCACAACATGGCTTTTGCGAGATTGCTGGATCAAATAATAAGATTGAAAGCACAATTTCCAGACTATACAATAAATACAATCCGTCTAGATAATGCTGGTGAGTTTACATCTCAGGCATTTTAATGATTATTGTATATCTACTGGTATAACAGTTGAACATCTAGTTACGCATGTTCACACTCAAAATGGTCTAGCAAAATCATTGATTAAACGTCTACAATTGATAGCTAGACCATTACTAATGAGAACAAAGTTATCTGTGTCTATGTGGGGGCATGATATTTTGCATGCAGCAGCACTTGTGCGCATAAGACCGACCAATTATCATGAATTCTCCCCTTTACAATTGACTTATGGTGAAGAGCCAAACATTTCCCATCTTAGAATTTTTTGATGCGGGGTGTATGTCCCAATTGCTCCACCACAACACACAAATATGGGGCCCCAAAGAAGTTTGGGGATATATGTTGGGTATGAATCTCCTTCAATCATAAAATATTTGGAGCCTATGACTGGAGATTTATTTAAGGCAAGATTTGCTGATTGTCATTTTGATGAATCAGTATACCCAACATTAGGGGGAGAACATAAGTCATTGGAAAAAGAGATAGATTGGAATTCATCATCTCTATCTCATCTGGATCCTCGAACAAACCAATGTGAACAAGAAGTTCAAAGAATAATTTATTTGCAGAACATTGCAAATCAGCTATCAGATGCATTTACTAATCTTCCAAGGATTACTCAATCTTATATTCCAGCTGTTAATGCTCCAGTTCGATTTGATATCCCGATGGGACAAATTGTTAAGGGAAATAAGTCTAGACCACATTTGAAGCGTGGTAGACCAATTGGTTCCAAGGATAAAAATCCTCGAAACAGAAAAGGAATAAATGATCAAAATGATCATGGGTTGAAAGAAATTTCTCAAGATGAGACCCAAGTCATAACACATGATGATGAGGATGTTCGAACTTCTGAAAATAATGAAATTTCAATGAATTATGTCTTGACGAGAAAGTTATGGAACCGAAATAATGTTGTGATTGACAACATATTTTCCTATAATGTTTCTATTGAAATAATTCAACAAGATGAAGATTTTGAGACAAAATCTATTCACGAATGTAGACAGAGAAATGATTGGCCAAAATTGAAGGATGCAATTCAAGCGGAATTGGCTTCACTAGAAAAATGTGAAGTTTTTGGACCAATAATCCGAACACCTAAAGGTATCATGCCAGTGGGGTATAAATGGGTTTTTGTATGAAAATGGAACAAGAAAGGTGAAGTCGTGAGATATAAGGCCCGACTCGTTGCTCAAGTTTTTTCTCAAAGACCTGACATTGATTATATGGAGACATATTCTCCAGTGGTAGATGCAATCACCTTCAGATATCTCATAAATTTGTTAGTTCATGAAAAACTTGAAATACGTCTAATGGACGTTGTCACATCCTATCTATATGGATCATTGGACCACAACATTTTCATGAAAATTGCTGAAGCATTAAAGTTCCTGAAGCATACAAAGATTCAAGAAAAACTTGTTCAATAAAGCTTCAGAAATCTCTTTATCGATTGAAACAATCAGGAAGGATGTGGTGCAATCATCTGAGTGAATATTTGTTAAAGAAAGGGTACAAAAATGACCCGATTTGTCCCTGCATTTTCATTAAACGGTCGGGGTCTGAATTTGTTATAATAGCTGTGTATGTTGATGATTTGAATATTATTGGCACTCGTAAAGAGCTTTTAGAAGCTGTTGTGTGTCTGAAAAAAGAATTTTAAATGAAAGATCTCGGCAAGACAAAATTTTGTCTTGGCTTACAAAGTGAGAATTTGTCAAATGGAATACCTGTTCATCAATCAACGTACACAAAAAAGATACTAAAGCGTTTTTTACATGGATAACTCACATCCATTGAGTACTCCAATGGTGGTAAGATCGCTTGACATCAATACAGATCCATTTCGACCTCAAGAGAATGATGAAGAGCTACTTGGTGATGAAACTCCTTATCTTAGTGCGATCGGGGCACTAATGTACCTTTCTAACAATACTCGACCAAATATCTATTTTGCAGAAGTCTAGTGGCAAGATTCAGTTCCTCCCCAATAAAAATATATTGGAATGGTGTTAAACACATACTTTGATATATTCGAGGGCCCATGGACATGGGTTTATTCTATTCCAATGAATACAAGTCAGAACTGATTGGTTACACAGATGCATGGTATTTATCTGATCCGCATAAAGCTCAATCACAAACAGTCTATTTGTTTACAAGTGGAGACACGACAATATCTTGGTGATCAATGAAGCAAACGTTGGTAGCCACTTCTTCAAATCATGCAGAAATAAAAGCCATCCATGAGTCAAGTCAAGAGTGCGTCTGGTTGAAATCAACGACCCATAATATTCAGGAAATGTGTGGTTTTCTTTGAAAAAAGAATATACCAACCACAATGTACGAAGATAATGCTGCATGTATAGCTCAATTGAAAGGAGGATACATCAAAGGAGACCGGAAAAATAATATCTCATCAATGTTCTTTTTCACACATGATCTTCAACAAAATGGTGAGATAGAAGTTCAACAAATTCGTTCAAGTGATAATCTTGCTGATTTATTCACTAAGGCATTGCCAACATCAACGTTTGAGAAGTTGAAATACAAGATTGAGATGCACCGTCTACGAGATATCAAGTAAGGTTTTCATCAGGGGGAGCGAAATACGCGTTGTACTCTTTTCCTTAACTATGGTATTGTCCCAAGTTGGGTTTTCCTGGTAAGGTTTTTAACAAGGCAACATTGAAAGCATATTATGAGATATGTGTACTCTTTTTCCTTCACTAGTCTTATTCTCACTGGGTTTTTCCTTGTAAGGTTTTAACGAGGCACATAATCTATGGATATCAAAGGGGGAGTGTTGTAAATCCATTGTATAGTATATGTGGATTATCCATTAGATTTATCCACTATTAAATGGGTCCATGTATAGGTGCTTCCAAGATAACTATGTATCTATGAATTAGATGACTTTTTGGAGTGATATCTCAACACTATAAATAGAGAATCACTCACCATTTGGAAGATATACTTGAATAAGAAAATTTTCTCCTCTATAATCTACTTCTTTTCTTTTTCTTCTTATATTCTGAGCTTTCTTTACAACATGTAGAGGGATTTTCATCTATTTTTTCTCCTTTGACCAAGTAAACTCAGATGAAAATTAAGTTTCATTGGTTGAAGCTTGCGAGAAGAGGTTTTAGGAATTGAAAAAAAGGTTGACTATTGCCCTAGTTTTGACCTTACCAGAAGGTACTAAAGGTTTTGTGGTGTATTGTGATTCATCAAGAGTTGGTTTGGGTTGTGAGTTAATGTTGAATGGTAAATATATAGCTTATTCCTCTAGACAGTTAAAAGTTAATGAGAAGAATTACTCAACATATGACCTAGACTTGGCTGTTGTGGTATTTGCCTTAAAAATATGACATCATTATTTGTATGGTGTTCATGGTGATGCATTTACTGATCACAAGAATCTTCAATATATGTTCACTCAGAAAAATATTAATCTTAGACAAAGGAGGTGGTTAGAATCACTCAAGGATTATGACATAATTATTCTTTACCACCCAAGTAAGACTAATGTTGGTTGTTAATGACTTTATCAGGTTGTTTATGGATAGTACTACCCATGTTGAGGAAGAAAAGAGAGAGTTAGTGAAATATGTGCACTGACTTGTACGATTAGGAGTCTTACTAATGGATTCAACTAAAGCAGCAGGTGGTGATGAATGTGACTTAATCATCATTAGTGTTAGAAGTGAAACAAAAGCATGACCAATATCCTATAATTCTAGAATTGCAGGCAAATGTTCATAAGCAAAAAGTATCAACTTTTGAACCAGGGGAGATGGGGTGTTGAGATATCAAGGAATATTGTGTATACCCATGGTAGATCGACTTTAAGAGAGGATCATGGAGGAATATCAAAGATCTAGATATTCCATTCATCAAGGTTCCACAAAAATGTATCGTGACTTGAGAGAAGTCTATTC